ATTTGGGGAGGGGGGGGGGATTCTGTCTGAAGTTTTTTAATACTGGGGAGGAGGAGTAATAGTAACAATAATGATAGACTATAAAATCTGTTTTAAAGCAGCATCTAATTACAAAATCAGTGCGAACAGTATCATGAGGAAGCAGGAAAATAAATTTAAAATATTTCATAAAAACTCAAATATAGGCAAAAAGATCTGAAATTAACTCAAAGTACACATGGAAAGATAAAGTTTAAAATGTAAAGTGTGTGTGTGGGGGGGGGGGGGAGTAGGCCCTAAGTTTCTAGATATAACAAAGGAAGAATGAGAAGACGAAGGTGAAACCTGGACAGGGACCCAACAGCCTAATACAGACATGGCATGTTCCATTCAGGCCCATGTAGGCATCACATAAAACAGTGGGTACTTTCACTATATAAGCATCAGCTTGTGTTTGTCTTGGTCTAGTGCTGCCGTGCCTTAAACTTCATGTAGGAATAACATCAGAGGCCTTCAACTGGTTTTGAAGAAGAAGAAGAGATTGGATTTATACCCCACCCTTCACTAACCAAAGGAGTCTCAGAGCGGCTTACAATCTCCTTTCCCTTCCCCTCCCAATAACAGCCACCCTGTGAGGTAGGTGGGGCTGAGAGAGCTCTTTCGAGGACTGCTCTTGAAAGAACAGCTCTGAGAGAACCATGACTGACCCAAGGTCACACCAGCAGCTGCATGTGGAGGAGTGGGGACGCAAACCCAGTTCTCCCAGATTAGAATCCACGCTCCTAACCACTACACCAAACTGCCTTAATACACAATTGCCGGTTTATGGCAACACGCTGGCAGACGCACCTCCCGGACCTTCCAGGGGTTTGATCTGCGCGCTAGCGATTAGGAGGGGGGGCAATTGTTCGCTGCCACCCCCGGAGCCTTTGTGAAAGGCTCCTAGCCATGGGGCTTTTGAAGGGTGGCCTCTTCGCCAGCGCGATGGTGGGGAATTGAGGCACTCTTCCACCCCGACGGTCCTGCCGCTATGCATCTGAATGGAATTAGAGCCGCTGACCTGGACAAGTGTCGGAGATCGAGCGTTTAAAACACATTTTGAGCGAGGTCTTATGACCAACAACAAACAGTGAGTCGAGTGAAAGCGAAATACCGGCAACTTAAAAAGAAAGTCCCCCCCGAGAATGGCGAGAAAAGCGAGTGGGGGAGGGGCCCCTCCCATACGCATGAATTTAAAAGCGATTTAGCAAGGGGGGGACAGAATAAAAGCGTTGAAATCTGTTTTAAGAACCTTACCAGAGCACGGATAGGCGTTGGGCAAATTTCAGAGACTTTAGCAAGTTTTAACAAAAGTAAACAATCCATAAAAATGGCGTAGAAAAAAGCAGAGAGAGACAAACAAGCAAAAGTGAAACCACCGGGGAGCATGAGCCCACGACCGGAAGAGACCACTGAGTTCTCTAAACTTTTGGCGGACTCTTTGCACCCTCTACTGGATCAGATGACTAACATCAATCAGCAGCTGACAACTCTAAACCAGAACTTTGCAACTCAGCAGCTCCAACTTTCTGAAACTACAAAAAAGATGGAGCAAACAACTGAGAAAGTAAAGGAAATAGATGCCAACTCTAAAAAAAGCGAAGAGAAAGGTGCAAATGCTGGAAAGGAAGCAAGCTTCGGAATAATCTCAACTTTTACAACTGCAAATGGAAAAAGCTAACCTGGTCCTCCGGTTCCAAGGGGTCCCTGAATCTAAAGATGAGAATCTAAAGCAACTTTTGAGCGATGCATTAGCTCCAGTTACAGATTTAAAAGCGGAATACCTTACAAGCTAAATGGATGTGGTCTATAGGGCCTGTTTACATCAAGAAAAATAATCTGCCTGGGGAGATAGTGGTTAGATTCTCGAAGAGGCATGTGAGGGATTCTATCCTGAAAGCAACTACAGGAACATCCCTGAAAATCGGAGACAACACCATCAGGATTTTAAAAGACATCCCATTTGAAATAAGGAAGAAGAGGAAGAAGTATACTTAATCCTTTTTTTTACAAACAGCATTTCCTACAGATGGTTAACCCCATTTTCAAACTGCAGGACAAAAAAGAAAAAATTGACTCTGTTTCCAAAGCACGTGAGTTCCTGAGACTGCAACGGGGAGAACCAGCTGAGGACGCTAAAGAAGATGACAGCAAATCTAGCGGTGAACTGGACTCTGTGTCTTCCAGCAAGGATTCTGCTTCAGAAAAGGGGGCGGCTGCCCCTAAATGAGAATACCAATTGAGGATTAGAAAAGATAAAGCAAAGTGAAGGCTGAAGGACTCTGAATGGTGCCTTAAAGCATGTGATATAAATGATGCTCTTGGGGTTGTTTTTAAACAGTTAAAAATGGTTAAAAAGATAAATAATTTAGCTTCATCGACTATGTTCAATGTAATGCAAGCATTTTAGAGTAACACTTATATAAGCTGATGTAATGATCTCCTATACTGGGGTTTTTAGTTATTAGTGGGGTTTTTTCCTTTCTCCTTAGATGTGGATGTTCCCTCCCTATTTTTTCGTTGTAGTTTGTAGTTTATAGAAAAAGCAATAAAAATCCCCTTCGGGGGGCATAAAAAAAGTTATATTCTACACAATTTAGTGTGTTTGTCATGCACATACTTCACCTTTGCCTCCTCTGCTCTCAGTGCAGAAACTGTTGCCTTCTAATCTCTTAGTGGTCCTATTTGTCTACTAATGGGCCCCAGGTCTGGATCATGTAACTCAGAGGTGTCAATCACGCAACCCGCAGGGCGCATCCTGCTCCTGCAGGGCTAGAATCCGGCCCACCAACCACTCCTTTAAGGAGGAAGGAAGGGTGAAGGAAAAAGAAAGCACACATGTGCGCACCAAATAAAAGCTCCCTCTGCTCTCTTCTGCTTCCTCTTCTCAGGCTGCTGCTATTTTGCTAACCCTCTCTTCCCTTCTTTGGGAAGGAAGCAAGAGAAGGAAAGGGAAGGAAAAAGAGAGAGCACGTACACCAGAGAAAAGCTCCCTCAATGCTCTCTCCTACTTCCTCTTCTGGGGCTGCTGCTGTGTTGCTAAGCCCCTCTTCCCTCGTTTGGAGGGGGGAGGGGAGGAGAAAGCGAGCACGCACAAGAAGGAGAGAGAGTCCTTTAAGACCACCTTTAAGAGCAACAAAGTTTTATTCCAGGTGTACGTTTTCGCATGTATCCTTGGGGGGGGGGTCTTCTGACAAGCCCTGCTCTGCTGTTTACTTTGAGACCTGATCACACATGCAAACGTTAAAAAAGGAAGAGGGGCAGGAAAGAGATGCATCTGGGATAAGGGGAATTAAAGGGAAATTATTTTGGCTTATTCCGAAAAGGTTTTTTTGAAGATTAGATTTTTATGTGCCAATTTGGGATTTTATTTTCTTTCAAAAAGACCCTGATTAAGAATTACAACACTTGGATTGGAAGTAGATGCCTAAGTATTTAAAAATACATTTACAATTCCATATAATCCAGTTCAACACATGGTCTCTCTCCCCTCCCACCTCTCCCCTCCCCTCCCACCGCCTTTCTTCACATCAAACCCCCCCCTTTTAAACTTGTTATTATCGTCACTAACAGTGAGTGGATTTTGTCCAGTCTGAAAGCAGCACATTATTTCACTTGGAGAGAGAGCCCCCTTTCCCGTTCTAACAGATGAAAAAAATAAAAATAAAAGAAATCTAACAGTGCAGCTTGCAGTCTTTATTAGTGGAAAGGAGTGAGAGTCCAGTAGCACCTTAATGACTAACAAAATTTGTTCAGGGCATGAGCTTTCATGAGTCACTGCTCACTTCTTTAGATACAGCTGGAATGTGAGTCCATCTGTCCTTATAACTTGGAAAGTGAAGTGATTTCAGATGCCAAATAGCAATAGCAGCCATTAGTAATGAGAGAAAAAACCTAGGTCTCAATTCAGCCCAGGAGGATGCATTGAGCTTCATTATCAGTTGCAATTCAGCAGCCTCTCTTTCTAACCTCCATTTGAAATTCCTTTGTAAGAGAACTACTGCTCTTAGGTCAGCAACTGAATGTCCTGGAAGGTTAAAACGACCCCACCACTGGTTTTTGAATGTTGTGGTTTCTTACAGCTGTAGAAACAGTAAGAGTTCAGTAGCATCTTAAAGTCTAACAAAATTCGTGGCCGGATATGAGCTTTTGTGAGTCACTGCACACTTATTTAGACTTATGTCCACTTATTATTTGCCTCCTCCTGGACCAAACTGAGACCTAGATTTCCTGTCTCATTACCAATGATGATATCTCCACGCATACTACTCTTCTGCATATCACACCTAATCCAGTAAAGTTTATTACTATTCGGCATCTGAAATCATCTTTCTAAAGTTTATATCTCTGGTATCTCATGTTACATTTTATGGCAAACGTGGTCCAGCCCGACAAAGTGACATGTCAGATCCGGCCCTTGTAACAAATGAGTTCAACACCTCTGATTCTCCAGTACAGGGCACCCAGTGCAGGAAACTAAAGGACCAAATGTGGGCAAAATCAGTTAAGACATTCCCAATTAGATCAGCAATTTTCCCAATAATGTCTGAAGTATTTGCATGATCTACTATTTCTAGACAAGAAACAGCTGGTTTCCATTTGCATTCTCCCCTCTTTTTGTATTCCTATTTATGAATCAAGACACTGGCAAACAGAACCAAATGGCTGATACATAAGGAAATGCTTTTTCCAAAGCTTCTGTAACATGAAAAACAATTGAAGACAGGGCCAGAGAGTTCTTTGCCTCTGCTTTGGAGCCAAAGTGATTACTTGGAGAATCCAATATTGTTGCCCCTTCAGCTCTGCTCATTTCAAAGTATGACCGATATTCAAGATTAACCTCCAAGTAGGCCATGGAGAAGAATTTAATCTGAACTACGATCAAAACAGTATATAAAATGGAATACCAATGTGCCTCCCATTTCATAACAAAAATTACAAATGAATTTTAATGGAAAATCCCACAGAAATGTAGTACTCACCTTCTGATCAGAGTGGTCTTGAAATAACAAACCAAAATAGTCCTTTTCCAGTAAATTGAGATGTTCACACACCTTGTCAAACAGCACTTGGCCTTTAGCTTTTTTCTAGAAATTAAGCCCATACACACAAAACCATCAGATACAGGGTGGTTTACTGAAGTTTTTACATCAAACCAGCAATAAAATTTGTAACACTTATTTAGAAATTCTCATATTTTAAACATGTTCACACCAAATAAAATTATTTAGCATCTTGTCCTTTTTCAGTATTAGAAAAGACCAAGCATGTGATCATCTGTCACTAGTACACAGGCAAGTTTTGATAGAGAAGTACTTTTTATATTCTCTTATAATTCAGGGATAAAGTGAATTCAAGCATACTTCTAAATAGGACAAACAAAAAACACAATTAAGTTCTCACTGCAAGTCTAAAATTATTCCATGATACTGTTGTACAGTATTGGGATATGTCTGTCATCAAATTCAAGCACAGACAAGATATAAGCCAATAAAATTAAGAACTGATGAGTAGTTACATTTTCAATAAGCAGCAATACAACAATATATTTTAAATCCACTACAACATCACGGCTACAGAAATAGACCAAAATGGTTTTTTTAAATAAGAACATTAAAAACAAGGCTACTTGGTAATGACACACAATGTACATTGTTTGATAAGTAGCTTTCAAAAATAAATGTTTCAACAAGTGCTTCCTTGTTATCTTTGCAACTGAACAAAGGGAAGAGGTCCTCTAAGCAGGAAAAAACAAACAAAATAAAACAACAAAATAAGGACCTCTAAACAGAAAGGCAAACAATATGAATAATTATATAAATAAAACATATTTATATTCATAGAACTTGTGTATTAGTGATGGATGTGTGTAACAAAACCAACCAGCACAATTACAGAGTAAATAATAAAATTAACGCCATATAAACAAAGAAGAAAAAGCATAACTGTCAATATTTATACATAGAAAAAATAGAATGTAACAAAAGGAACATGAATGTCAACATTTGTACAAAAAATGTGAAATCCTGGTACTTTGATATTGACTGTAATACTGTATTCAGTAACAGCTTCATGCCTTCAAAATGTGAGAAGAAAAAAAGCCAATAATAGCCAAAGTGCTGGCACAGTTGCAACTGTGTCTTCTTACAGGTCTTAAAGCAGCTGAGACTTAAAAAATCAATTATTAAATTACTAGGAAAAAGGCCCGTTGTGGAAATAAATACAACGGCCTCTAGAAAGAGGCTCTGGGTGGGTGCCCCGGCCTTGGACACTCAGTGTCAATTTGCTGTGGCGACCTCAGCAGGATATAATGACACTGAGTCCACCATTTTCTCCAGAGGAACTGATCTCTGCTACCTAAAGAACAGTTGTAATTTTGAGTGATCTCCTATCCTTACCTGGAGATTGGCAACGATGGTTCCCATGAAGGGAATAGTTGGTTTGGAGGGTGGAGTCTATGGCTTTGTACCTGTCCCAGGTCCCACGCCTCCTGAAACCTCACCCTCTCCAGGCTCCATCCCTCACATCTCCAGGAATTTCCCACCTGGAGTTGGCAACCCTCTCTCCTTCCCAGCCAATCATCAACCTACCTTTATTTCCCCTCACTCTTCAGCTTTCCCAAGCAGTTGTAATTCTGAGTGATCTCCAGCCCTCACCTGGAGATTGGACACATTTTACCTCAGAAGAGCAAACTGTTTAGAATGTTAGAGGCAAAAGCCAATCAAGTCGCATATGCAAACGACCTCTGTGTTCTGAAGGCAAAGGCCAATGAGACTGCATATGCAAATAACCTCTGTGTTCTGACTGGCTGTGGGGGGGGGGAGGAAGAGCAAACTGTTTAGAATGTTGGAGGCAGGACTCAGGCAAAGCAGCCAGTGGATAGGGAGACCCTCTGAATGACAGATCAGAGAGCGAACTGATTTTGGAACGTGTGGAATGTTCTAGAGATGTGCCACCACCATTCGGCTTTTATTTATAAAGGAGATGGCAGATTCAACAGAATTGTTGTCAATTACTCCTTTCCATAAAAATATAGTATCTGCTATGTAGCAACCGCTCTGAGAAATGTACACACACAGAAAATCTCTAGTAATTGCTCACATGTTTTTCTCACATTTGAAAACTACTGGCACATGCTACAAAACACAGGTAACCTGACCAAACAATTCAGAATTCCTTTTTTCGTAATACAAAAGCTTGGTGTGAGAAATCAAGGCAAAGCAAAGCATAAAACTTCTCAAAGGTCCCGGTCACACGGGCAGGAAAATGCGCGTGGGGGGGGGAGCGTGGTTTTTTGCCCCAGAGCAAAATAACGTGCAGTTGTGCGATCAGACGTCCCGTAGAGGTCCCGTGGTTAGTGGGGAGATGCCGATCACAGGACAATCCTGCGGCGTGGCAAAGAAGCGGCCTCTCTAGCAAAAGGCTCCGCGGGTTTAACCCCTTCCAGGGCTGCAGAGGAATGCAAACTGTGTCCTCCGTCCAGTCCCCTCCAGGAGGAGCTTCAGCCGGGCCGCCCTCCCGCCACGCCCCCCTGCACCTCCCCCTCTGCCGCCCGGTGCAGAGAGTTCCTCTCGAGCAGGCCGAGCCAGGAGTGGGGGGGTACAGAAAAGAGGAGGGGGCTGTGTTGTTTTTAAACGAAGTGTGCGCATGCGCCGTTGGGTGCTTGTGCGCATCCCGTGGAGACTTGGGGGGGGACCTTTTAGCGATGGGACATGGGCGGGCGCTGGATGCCACGACCTACCACCAGAAACGCGATCAGGCACCCTCCCTTGCTCCGTGGTTTCCAGAAACTAGTACCTCGGAGGTACTAGTTTTTTACCCCGCATCTTGGGCGGGAGGCCTCGGGTTCGCCACGGGAGCTCTACGCTTCCCAGATGTGGCGCTGTGATTGTGCCCGGAAAATCCGCCTATCTTCCGTCTCTGTAGCGTGGCTAATGCTCCGTGTGACCGCAGCCTTATTGTGATTCATTTTAACTTCTTTTATTCTGTTTCAGTTGGGTAGCCATGTTGGTCTGCAGTAGAACAGTAAGATTCAAATCCATTTGGTCTTTAAGATGCTATTGAGCTTGAATCTTGCTGTTCTTTTATTCTGAACCAATATAAAGAGATAGTACTAGCTTGTGTACTATAGAAAAGGCAAGTATAAACATAACTAGACAGTGGGAAGTGATGAATGGGGTAGTAAAACAGACATCTCCCAGAATGAGGAATGGAGATAAATCAAGCACAAAAGCAACTAGAGGACACATAGGAACGGCTTTAAGACAACTGGATAAAATCTGAGCTGCTTGTGGTGGCCATTATTCATAAAATATATAGAAATCTAAAAATTGAAAATGGCTAGTTTATACTTTTAAGTCTGTTATTCAGCAAACCAGTTGGAGGTTTTTCATCTATGCTGCCCACCACTTTTGCAATATTCAAGAACACACAGATGACTGAGTAAAGACCAGTGCATTCATATACCTATTAACTCATTCCTTTTTCCACCAGCATCTCAGACTTATTTAAAGGCTTCAGTGCAATGAATTACCAGTGTGCACATCCACAGTAGTAGCTTGGTGCTACTCCTCTCCAGGAGGTGGGATTTGGAGTCTTACTTATTTAAATCAAGGTTCCTTCCTTTTGTCTGAGCACATATCTGAGGATTTTTGTTATTCTTGCTTTGTTACCTGATGTATATATTGATTCTACCTGCTCCTTACCCCACTACCACACCAACCTGCTACAGCACTTCTGAGACCCAAATGTCATTGTAATGAGCCAGGCTTACTAAGCCAGAAACCAAACACTCTGTGACAATCTTGTTTCAAAGCATGAAGACAGGCAACTTGGTTTCCTTTGATACTGAAAATGCTTACTCATACCTACTTTAGACAGTTGTGACTCCAACTAATAATTTGTCTCTGTGGGACCTTGTTACTGGCGGCTAGACTACTATTTCTGTGGGACAGTATCACTATGACTTAAGGTGCCAGTTCTTAGCATTTAGATACCAAAGGGAACCCTGATAATGAGGACACAGCAACTGAAGTTTCTTTATTAATCTTCAACATAAACATTTAGTGTTCAGTTATCTTACAAAAGTGTGTAGCAAGTTTGAGCCTAGGCATGAATTAAGGAAGAACTGACAAACCAGACTATTCAAAAAGAATATGCAGCCCAATGAAATGAGAACATTTGTAGGTAGCAGAAGGCTCCCGAAGTTACAGGAGGTTCTGGGGATTAATCCTTTGAGTCAGAGAAGAGAGGTGGCACCTGCCATCTCAGGAATGGGCTTCACTGTTCCCTTGAGCTCCTCCTCTGCCTCTATTGTAGTCCCAAGAGGGGAAGCAACTTCCTGAGGGAATTCAAGGATTTGTCTTTGGATCCCCTCTCATAATAAGGGTTTGGGTTCCTGGGTCATGATTTTTGTGTATTATACATACAAAAGGAGGGAAAGCAGCATAAAGAAAGTGAAAAGCTAACAGTGGTGTGTTCTGCTCCTTGTATTGGGTTCTAGCGCTGTTTCTGATTAATGTCAGTGCTTAAATAACTGTGGTTATGTTAATCACTTACAGTGTGATCCCAAGCAGAGTTACACCATTTTGACTCCACAGAATAAAAGAGTGTGATGCTGCTTAGAATTGCTCTACTTTACTTACATATACATATATATAGTTTCCAGTATCTGTCTCTTGACCGTGCTAGAGAAATTAGGAGTTGGGGACTGCTTCACTTCTTTGCAGGGGCAGACCATTCCTAGGAGCAAGTTCTATGCGAAGTAGTTGGCACTGGCAGCAGAAGCCCACTTCTGCTTTGAGCACAAAGTGGAGAAAGGTAACTAGAATTGCTTGTTTTCAATCATGTAATAGCAATTAATGCCTCTTTTTTGGTTTTTTGGTAAAAGCTGCCTAATTTTAGCTCATTAATTTTCTTCTATCACTGGACTGGATGGCAGGTTAAGTTACACTGCAAGCCAAATAGCTGTATGGTGACCAATACTGTTGTCGCCAATGATGCGGGATGAGTTAAAAGTATCTTCAGGTTAATCTTGAGGAACACTGGACCTTCCTGTGACTGTTCCCTCTATTCAGAAATATGGAGG